TATATGTCTTAGTCTGCTGCACTCGCTTTACACTGCGGCGCTCAGCCTGCCCTGCACACACATACTGTCAACGTTACTGTAAAACCAAACAGCTAACAATGCTAAGGATGAGAGGTAAAGCTCACATCAGGCCCATTTATTTCCAACAAACTGCGTCCTTTCCTTGGACAGAAAACAGAAAATAAAAAATAATAGAAAATAAAAATTCATCTACGTGTCAACTTGGGTCAAATATGGATCGAACAAGATCTTATCACACCAGGTACACAGTCGCTGCTACCATGATGTCAAACAAATACAACATGCTAACGTTATTAGCACAAGCTTATGGCATTTTACATTGTATAAATTAGCCTAGCAGCTAGCAGAGATTTATTAATGATAATTCAACAAAACTGCTTCATTCAAAGGCCACAAGATACACACAAACACTTACTTCACCTCATGGATGTTGGATGGCACGAAAAATGTGAAAAATGTCAAAACTAACATCTTTAAATGCTGGTTTAGCCCAATCAAAAATGAAATGTATTTAGTTTACACCAATATCAAACTATTTGATACAATAATAATTAAAAAGAAATGGCCGAAAAAATAGAAAGACTGATGCTTTGCACTTGAAAAGTTGTAGTTTGACAAATCAGCTCACCTGTGCTAACATTTAGCAAGCTAATTAGCCAGCAAATGAGGTCATTATTAGCCTTGAACTACAAATAAATATATTAAAAATGTTAGCTAGTATTTGTTGATTATATGGTGGTCAGTGTTTTGGCATGGTCAACTTTCTTAATGCTCATTCTCTTAAGCGGGATTTATACTTGTGCGGCAGACCCTACGTCGACAGTGGGGTTTCTGCAAAGTTTAGGCTGCGTTTGAAAAGCTAGCTCGAGGTTTATCGCCTCGAGGAAACCCTGAAAGTGATGGATTTCGGATATTTTTAAGTATCGTACAAACACAACCAGAGGTTTCCTGGTTAATAATGCCCCGATACAACTGTAAAACACTGTGGTTCAATCTGCACAGAAATACAAGTGCCACATGGGAGATGTGTGGTGGTAACACGCAGCCCCTGCAGGCTGTTTTTATAATTAAAATCAGCATCATGTGTGTTTTAAAATAGGCACAATGTCTGCATCCAAAAACAGAGGAAGAGGCATGCAGCCATGTGATATTTAGTCTGCAGCATCCTGCCAATAACATGACTTGCCATGGTCTTTAGTCTGACTCAGACTTGACTCAGGTGGTCCTGATCGCAGCGCTGCAGGAGGTCTAGCTGAGGTCGTCTGGTGGGGTGGGGGGTTCCTGGAACAGCGTCAGTGCCAGGCTCATCTTTAACCTGCGACCTGCTCTGTTGTCTGCTCAGTTACACATCACAGTTTAGTCATTTAGCTCGGTGGTCTCCTGCAGTTCGCCTCACAGGTTTCTGTTACATGTAACCACAGAGGCAGATAGTTTCACTGTCTTGTAAACAGAGAGCGCCTCGAACAGTCAAAACAAAACATGGTTTTAGTCTGGGCCTTCAGCTCGGCATGGTGGATAATGTTTGCTCCTATTTATCAAAAGTTTCAGCAGTTAAATCTACAAAAGTTGACAGGTACTGTGTTCATAAGCTATGTCGCATCAACGTACATTAGTCATGTACGTTAAACGCGAAATCAAGATAGACCCTGATTAATTTAGACCCATTGTCCTTGTTCGTGGCTGCAAAAAGCATAATACACTAATCCATGTAAAAACAAGATGGCAGCCGTCTTTGCAAGGTCAGTCTGCAGCCGATCCCGACACAAAATGGAGTCGTTTGAGGACATTGGGACCTAAATATCTCATTTGAGGACACTGAGACTTAAATATCTCGTTTGAGGACATTGGGACTTTATTATCATCTTGTTTGAGGACATTGGAACTTAGATATCATCTTGTTTGAGGACATTGGGACTTTAATATTGTCTGGTTTGAGGACATTAGAAGTTTATTATCATCTTGTTTGAGGACATTGGGACTTTAGCATCGTCTCGTTTGAGGACACTGGGTCTTTATTATCGTCTGGTTTGAGGACACTGGGTCTTTATTATCGTCTGGTTTGAGGACATTGGGACTTTATTACCATTGATAAGTCGAGCAGTCGCTGTTTTTTTGCTAGTCAGTGTGCCGTGCAGTGTACTTCTGGGGACGTTTTGGTTCTGGTACGTCACTGTTACATGAAGTGTTCAAAAAAGCAGGCCAAATAAAGGCTCAGGTCTCAGGAGGTTAGAGTTTGGGAATCAAAATGGTTCCTTGAGCATGTTTGGACTCCATCACTGCAGCTCAAGAGTGACAAGACACTTTCAAATCTTTAAATGGCAGCTGTGTGAGATTTCCACTTTGCTCTTGACCTTATGACTCATGTTCAATGACTCACGTCTTTCAAAGACAGACTTTCAAGCTTGCTGCTAAAAAGGTTCAAAGTTTTGACGAAAAGCGTCTTGTGACCCTTCGGTTGTTGACCGATGAGCCCACCTCGCCCTGCCGTGCTCCCCTGGGTGCTTTTGGATAATCTGAACAGGTTATTTTGGCTCAGAAAGCGAGTGCCTGATTTCTCCAGGGAGTCCTGGGAGGAGCCGTCATCACCTTGATTCAACAGATCCTGCCAAGTCGCCTCCTCAGGGCGTCTGGCTCGCCTCTCCATCACGGCACAGTGAGGAGAAAGGAGCTATAAATAGCTCCAGGATGTATCTGGGCAGCGGTTGGCCGAGGGCGAGTGATTAGAATAATAGCCATGCTTTTTTAATATTGACGGTCATTAGATAGAGTTAACAAAATGGGCGTGATTAGGCCATTTATCGGATATTAGCATCAGATTTGGATCCTTTTAATGCTCAGGTGTGAGAGCAAAATGTCTGTTTAGGTGTGTTGGGTCAAGGAAAATAAAAAGCAAGACAAAACACAAGATAATAAGCAGCTGAGACGGTGGGAAATGACCTTAATGTCCTTTGATGCTTCTAAAAACTGCAACTAAAAGACCTATAATTGGAATTGTTGATGTTTCTCCAGCTGATTAGATCAGGAACAGACTGTCCAGTGGAAGCAACTCACAGATGATGTGTCCACAACGAGACAAATAATCACCTGACCGTCCACACGTCCTGCCAAAGTGCCCACAAGCAAGACTCCGAAATGATTACCACGCACGACACTATTTGTTCCAGTAAGTGGAAACATCTGCAGGTCAGCGCCGCAATTTCCAGAGACGTGTCAGAGAATAAAAAAGCCCGTCTCGCCTCGACCCTCGGTGTCATTTAAATTTAAAATGTGTAGCAGCTCGTGGTCGTGACACCCTCGAAATAAAACAACACTATTATACTGTTCATTATTGAGCGAGACAAAACAACAACAGCATCAACAGCAGAGGGGCTGGTGAAATTTCTCCACGGATATCAGACAGGCTGAGTGTGCCAAGACGGTTTTGATTTTATTATTTTTATATATATATTTATTTATATATTTTTTACGACAGCACATAGTCTAGTTTTTGAGGAAGCCTATTACTGTCCTCCCACTCACACCCATCAGTGGCAGGCGCACCACGACCTCAATAACCCTCCACACACTCATATAGAGACAGGCTCAGTCCATTTATGTCTCCATGACTCCACCGACTCACAGTCGGAGCGCTACTGCCATCAAGTGGCTCGTTTCTCAAACTGCCTCTGAAGCATCCTGCAGCATCAGAGCCACTGTGTTTAAAACTCCTACTGTACTCACTGTAAGTACAGCTATACTACTTTTCTTTTTCTGCTACTTTATACTTATACATTACTGTATTTTAAGCACTACATTCATCATTAATAAGGATGGAAGAAGTATTGAGAAACTAATGTGACCATAGCAATACCACAGTGTAAAAATACTATAATTTAATTATTATTAATTTGAAAAATTAATAGAAGAAATAGTAATTTGGCAGAGAACATTTCAACCCAATGCCAAAAAAATGTTGGCATTGTACCGTTCTGTATACCACAGCTGGATACATTGAAACTTAAGCTACTTTACATTTCAACAACGCTGTAGTTAAGACGTGGTTACACTTAGTGCCAAGAATGTTATGCTATGGTTAGAAAAAGACCACGTTTTGGCTTAAAATACCTGTTTGCTGGTGCACAATCTTAAAAGGAAAAGCAGTGATGTCTCACAAAAAAAAAAAAACATCAAACAATCCCGGAAGTCCTGATAAACAACAACCGTTTTCCAAGCCACTTCCCCAGCTAGAAACGCAGCGATGTCTGGTAATAAACAACTGCTTTTTGTGCCACTTTCCTGGCAGGAAACGCAGCAATGTCTTGGTAAAAAAACAAAAGAAAATTTGGGCCTTTTGGACAGGAAATGCAGCGATGTCTTGGTAAAGGAAATGCAGCGATGTCTTGGTAAAAAAACAAAAGAAAATTTGGGCCTTTTGGACAGGAAACGCAGCGATGTCTTGGTAAAAAAAACAAAAGAAAATTTGGGCCTTTTGGACACGAAACGCAGCGATGTCTTGGTAAAAAAAACAAAAGAAAATTTGGGCCTTTTGGACAGGAAACGCAGCAATGTCTTGGTAAAAAACAAAGGAAAATTTGGGCCTTTTGGACAGGAAACGCAGCAATGACTTGGTAAAAAAAACAAAAGAAAAATTGGGCCTTTTTGACAGGAAATGCAGCAATGTCTTGGTAAAAACTACAACTGATTTCGTGCCAATATCCTGAAACGGATCAATGTCTGGATGATGTCCCTCTACAAAACAACTGGTTTTTGTGCCTCTATACCAACAAGAAATGTTAGTAGAAATGTCCCTGTAAAAAAATCATAACACCTGCTTTGTGCGTCACAATCCCGGCAGGCAACCCAGCAATGTTTCTGTCAAACAAACCCACTGTACATGGCACCATCCTGGCATTAAAAGCAGCGACATCTCTGTAAAAAACAACTGCATTTCACGCCTTAAAGCCTCTAAAAACGGCAATGATTCGCTTTATCTCAACCGGTTTTCAGAAACATACACATTTAATGAATTCATGGTTTGCAGAAACGTACAGAGCAACATTTTCTTCTGGCTATTGGGCTGAAAATGGAGTGGATGAGAAGACCTTAAAGAGACCTTTGCAATCCCAGACAAGTGGGTGAAATAAAAAGGCTCCTGGTTCTCACGAGGCTGCTAAAACAAACAGTTACTTGTGAACTAAACATTTAATAACATTTAATAACAGTCAGATTAAGATGCACTGGTGCTGTATTAAAGGGTAAAACATCCTTTAATCATTAAATGTACAGAAAAAACAAACAGAATTTCTTCACGTGATTCTGTCTCTGAGGATTTCTCCATCCAGACGAGACGTTAACGCAGAACACTGGGAACAGTTTGGCATGGAAATGGAAAACAAAGACAGTAAATACAGTGTGTCGGCTATTGGCAGCTCCAATAGAAAAATATTGGAATCAGGGTTTAAGAAAGACCCTCAGACCCGTCTGTAAAGGGATCCTCGCATGACAAACAGTCACAATAAGTTAGAACAGTAATGATGTTTTAAAGAGGCACTTCTTCATCACCGCTTCGCCTGTAAATTATAAAAATATATCTCCAGCAACACTTTTAACAGACGTGACAGAATCTGAACCCTTTCCTGTCAACGTTACACCGGCTCCCAGCGCATGAGGCCACACAAGATCTGCGAGGAAACTCAGCAAAAGACGACGAATAATAATTAAGCAGCAGGTTTCTGCAGGATTTAACGAGCTACATTCAAGACCTTTTTAATACCGAAGAGAATACAATTAAATATCTGTTTCATGAGCACGCTGGCCAAAGTATTCCCCAGTAGTGCTGCAATAATTCCTGCCAATAGAGTGAAGTTTTTGTCACTGTTTGGAACAAATTTAATCAACTTTCTTTCATTTTTTGTGTGGTGGGAGTGAAAAATATTCATGCATGGATTAAAAATGTGCATTAATTTACTGTCAGCTGGTCTGCGGTGCAAAAGATTGGGAACTTTTGTATTTCAGTGCATAAAAAAAATCACTAATTCAGTTTAAAAACTTCTAAATTTGTGTCAGAGACTCTTGACAAAAAGGCATTTTAATGTGTTAATCCTGTGCTGGTAGAGAAGCTGTCACTTTTTAATGCTGTTTAAGTTTTACAGAATCAAACTGCTCAATTAAATCCCCGTTTTCGTCACATTTCTACGTAAATTAAGTCAATAAATAAGTCCACCGTCACAGGGCAGTAAATATAGTGCACATTGCTCCTCTGAGGCGCAAACGCACCTCCAAACATTCAACCCAAACGTCCCTTTTGTTAAAACAAGTCGCGTCTGAGTCTTAGAACCGTTTAAAATATGAGCTGCAGCTTATTTTCGGAATTACAGGATGTTTTCTGGTCGTATTTCAAGCACATTTTGCAACACAGATACAGTTTTGACTGAACGTCAGTGTGCGTCGTCAGCCACGAACACTGGGTTTTCCTCTCCTCTGTGCGAGGGCGGGTGCGTTTGGTCTTTGTCCCCGTTTGCGTCTGTTGGTGCCGGGTGGGAGGTGTCTGGTTGTGTGGGTGTTTCTGTGCCGTCATCACTCTGGTTTCTGTGTGATGTTGCCACCGCCTTGCACTCAGCCGACGCCTGCTCATTAGGTACCTGGCAACAAGAGGAACAAACAGTGATGGCGGTTGACGGGCGGCCAGGTTTGGCAACAACAAGGAACATTTGTGTTAGCGAGGTAAAGAGCTAGCTGACATCATACTTTCACTGGCTATTAAAATCATCTTAAAACAACAAGCTTTAAAAACAGACTTCCCTTCATGCCTCTCTTCATCTGCTGCACTAATCTGACCTCTCAGCAGCTGATGATCTCCAAAAATGGCGGCGGGAGGGTGGGGTCGGGAGGGTGGGGTCGGGGGGGGGGTGACATCACCAGGGGAGCAATTAAAGCATGCACTTCACATGATGTCACGGCGGGAGAGCGGGGGAGGTTCGCAAACACACGTATGCATGCATGTACACGCCCACGCCCCACACAGGTATAGATGAGTCACTGCTATCACCGCATGCATCAGCACACACACACAAAGACACAGAGGACGCCCACCCCACCCCTCAAACACACACACACACACACACACACACAAACAACACACACACAGTAGTTTTCCATCGACCTTTGCACGTAGAAGCGTCTCACCTTTCTTCAGAGTGAGTGTGTGTGGGCGGCCGGTTAGAGGAGGAAGCGTCAGAGAGGTCATGTTAGTGAATGTGAAAGAAACATGAAACTTTACAGACACAAATTACAGACCTCGCACATTCAGAGGATGTTTGGTTTTCACAGGTGGACTGACAGTGAGGAGTTTCCAGAACAGAAATGCTCGACATTTAATCGCCGAGTCACAGCATGGATTTTTCTGTGGTGTCCCTCAGGGTCTTGGTGTCGTAACGCTATATTTTTGTCAATTTCTATCAGTTCTCGAGTGGTAAAAATATCAAACATATTTGTTCTTTCGCTCACCTGAAGCGGTTGAGTCTCTGTAGGCGGAGCGCCGCTCTTCGCCAGATTCATCATCTCCTTAATCTGGACGATAGCGAAGGCGATGGTGACCCAGGGGGCGCCAGAGAGCACCCAGGCCGGCTTGTTCACTTCCTCCTGGTCCTCCTGGTGTTTGGTCTTCCTGACGGGCAGCGCTGCGACCTGGCGGGCCGGGACAGGGCTACCGGCGGCGGCGGCGGCTTGGCTCTGCACCAGGTCGATGGTGGCGATGGGGACCGGGCTGGACGGGACGGGGATGTTCTCCGCCAGCATTTTGTCCTCTGGGAGGAGACGAGGACAGAGGAGATGTTACAGAGACGGGACATAAACTTAGATGTCTAGATTCAGCTTGACATGTACAGGCAGGTTTATGAGAGTCTCCCACCTTTCCCCTCAGACTCGCCAGTCACACACTGGATGAAGGCGAAGATGAGGAGGATGACGAGGGAGGCCATGCCGATCCCTCTGAATGTCGCTGCAGCACCTGTGAAGCAAACAGGAGTTTAAAAATGTTTTGTGACCCAAACTAAAACATCAAGCGCCGCCGCTGCCGTCGTACCAAAGTAGTTGACAAACACGCCGCCCACCATGGCTCCACAGCCACGGCCCAGGCCCAGGTGGAGGCCCTGCAGGATGCCCTGCGCCGACGTCCTCAGGGCCGGAGGGACCGCCGCACTCAGGAAGGAGATACAGGCTGCCCAAACTGAGGCGTGGGTCACACCTGCGGGACACACAGGGACAGATGTGGGTCACAGCTGGAGGAGACGTCTGAACACAGTAGGGTTCATACAGATGACACAAAACAAAATTCAAGGACTTTTTAGGCGCTATCTTTTCAGTTTCAAGGACTTCACTCAAAGCAGCTGATTCATTTCATCACTATATTCTTATTAAACACAAATAAATGATGTGATGTCTTTCATCGGTGGCACAAATGTATTAAACAGAACAGCTGAAGGGCCTCAGAGCTTCGGTGCTCATACGACTGTAATCAAACATTCTCTCACACTTTGAAAGTGCCGACTGAAACCTGCGTTTCAATTTCAGTTTTCGGCAGAGTGATGACATCTGTGCTGAAGACAGAGGAGAACATCCCGGTGAAATGCCGAGTCATGAAGTTCAGCCATGTCACGTTTTGTAATGCCAACAGAGATCGACTCGTTCAGCTGTGGTTTAAGAGTGGATTATAATGTTTGTTTAAGTGGCCTGTTTGAACATTTCATATATTTTCTGTTGCTGTGCTAATTTTTTGGGACCTGTCTATTATAAGAAAATCAATCTGAGAGACTTGTTGGGCACGTCTAAATCCTGGACATTTGTTTTTGTGTTTTTTATTTTTGTAGATTTCACGGTGTCTACGGAGGATTGAAGGATGAAAATAAAACTTAAAAAGACATCTGTATGATGCGTGGCCATCAATTCCTTGGACCGGAGTAGTTACAGATGTGATGAACAAAAGCCCCGTCTCCACCAAACCCTTTCAGTCCAGCACCTTTGGAACCAGCAGTAACCCTTCAGACTTGAAACTAATATATATAAACGCTTGAAGATCCACTCATTAATAAAAGTGTCTGCAATCACAGCGTCTCTGAGTGTGCGGCTAGCACTGCTCGCAGCAGCATCTGTTGTTCGGCGTCGGTTCACATGCTTGAGTTGAATGTGGTTGCTGCAGTTGAGTGATTATATGCTAGTTTATGTTCTGACACAGCCTACATGTCACCTTGTTTTCACTTTCTAGATCAAAGTGCTGCCAAACCGCGCTGGTATTGCGAGAGAGCACATCTCTCTTATTTCCCACCGTGCCGTTTTAAAACTCCAGTCTACTGGAGCATTACCGCGGGGAGGGGGACTGCTGTGTGATGGCACTGTAGCTCCCACTAGTGGTGGGCGGCTGCATGTAGGGTTGGGTCGGTATGAGAAAAAAAAAAACGGTCAGGTTTTTGTGAAAAACCGCATCAAGTCGGTAATACCGGATTTTCGCCACTTGGGGGCGCAACTGACTCATTTAAAATAAAAAACAACCACAGGACAACAGAGTGACAGTAACACGTTGTTTTTATTCCTAACAAATAAATTTTGCAGCTTACTCAGTCGGTGCAAACAAGGGTTGCGTCCTTCGTCTGGCTCAAAGCCAAAGTGTTGCCATAGTGGCGCATTCTTTGATTTCTTCGAGACTAAATTGTACGCACTTCCGCGTTGTAGTTTCCCGTGAAAAATCCCAGCGATGTGAAAAATACATGCTGAGCAGTCTTTTGTGTGACACTGGTGCGCGGAGCGGAGTCTGCGCGGACGTAAAATCTGCGGACGTCTGCTTTTAGTCCAAGCGGACCTCCACGGAGTCCGCTCCGTGTACGTTCCGCCCAGTATGTTTGGGCCAGGCTGTAAAATGACGTATGCTGTCCGGTTGGTCTCAAAAAAAACAAAAAAAACGGTCCAAGACGGAGTACCGAACCAAACTGGTATTACCGAGAACCAACCCAACCCTAGCTGCATGACAGTTAAGCTGCCTTGTACATGAATAAAACACTAATTGGTTTAACCGACTAATATTTGTGGTGCCGACAAGCGAGGGGGCGGACGTTTACACGGCTAAGCGCATGCATCTCTAGTGGAGTCGGGGCTAAAGGCAGTGTTATGTGGTCCATTTGAATATCAAGGACTTTTTCAGCAAAAGGGCCTGTTTTCAAGGTATTCCTGGGGCTTCAGGCACCTTGTGTGAGCCCGAGGAAGAGGAGTAAATAACTATTCTGCCAGCCAATCACATGAGTGGGCGTTCCTGTCCTGATCGTGGCTGCAGTCAGACCCGTCTTGATATTTCTAATATTTTGAGGATAACTGTGCTTCAGGATATACATGTGATAAATAACCGTAGCCTTGTGGAAATGATGTCCAAACAGACACAGTGCAGGTATTAACTGGTTGTTTAACTGTTTGTTTAAATGTAAACTGGTCACACACAGATCTGAGAAGCTGTGTGTGAGACATCTGCAGCTGTAACGTCTGAACGCTGACACAAACGACGACCTCTCTCTTGGTGAACGTGTTAAAACTTCACTTCTGGACGGACCTGCCCCTGACGGAGATTTCACGTCTTTGAGGGAACAGCTGAGAGTCTGAGGCTCCACATTTGTCTCTGAGAGTCTTGGCTCAGATCTCAGTGGTGAAAATCACACGTTACTTATCAGGGTTACTGAAAGTGTGATCACAACATAGTGAAATATGATTCAACAGTGGTGTCATTATTAACACAGCATAAGCACCGCTTTGTTTAAAGCTCCTTTAAAGCACGTTTAATGTCTCATTGTTGATTGTTCTTTGTCTTTAGACCCCACAGACCTTCAGACTGTGATGAAGGCACTGCTTCAGCATCATTACACCAATACAATACAATCAGAGGCTTTTGTACTCACTTAATATTATTTTTTCATTCCCGATTGTTTATGAATATTCCTGTGAGATGGTTTATTGTCGCCGCAGGACAGTTTCACCAATGACACAAAGATATTTTAGACAGTGTCACCATTACACAGTTTGTCCACCAGAGAGCAGCGATGCATTCAGGTGTAAATTCTCCTGCTCAGTCTGTTTCTCAGTTGCTATTTACACTATGTAAATCCACAAATGTTGGTATTTGTTTCCGGCTAAAGAATCCAGTAGGATTTATTTACATTGTAAAACTTAATTAATGATAATTCCTCTGTTGTGGTTAAACAGCTATACGTACTGAACTCGTTTTCACCGTTTATTCTGCGAGGCGTCGGTGTTTTCTCAGGGCGGACAGCTCAAACAAAGCAGCCACACACATCTCTTTACTGTAGCGCACTATCTATACACTTCATCCTGCAGTTAAACGACATCCTGCATCGTTCAAAGACATTATTTATATTAATAACATTAAAGATTTGACTCTGTGTTACGAAGCAGAACTCCAGCGTTTGATGGAAACTGCAAAGAGGTCGTTTCAGGTGACGTGGGGCGCCAGGAGAAACCCTGTCGTTGCTGCAAATGAGTGATGATAAGTTAAAAGCCTGAGCTGTCGGAGGAAAAAGGCCGTCTGATAAGCGTCCTGTTTGACAAACAGACATTTCCTGCCCTGTCCCCTGGGTCCTAGCTCCCACAGCCTCCCTACAGACGCAGACATGTTACCTTGAAGGACCTCCATGGGCAGGACAGTCCAGGCGTTCTTCAGGTAGGAGATGTACAGGTAGCGAGCTGTGTTGCAGGCCAGGCCGATGTACAGCACCCTGAGGGGGAAAGATGGAGGAAGACAGAGTGTGAATGAGAAAACTTTGTAGTCTTCATGTAGAATCATATTTATTTCTTTTAAGTAGTGTTGAAAAATATAGTTGCAATTAGGGCTGTAGCTGCAATCAAAAAAACTTAAATAATTATGAATAAATTAAAGAAAATAAATAAATACATTTAAAAAGGCATTCAAAAAATAATAAATTCTAAAATGAATAAAAATATTTAAATGCAAAAATAAATATCTTTAAAAATGAATTTAAAATAAATAAAAATAAATGCAAAA